ATTGGTATAGCTAAGACATCCCTAGCAAGCTTAGAAAGGATAGGAAATCTACCAGAGTTAACCTTCCACCACCTCAGTATATCAAATGAATTTTCCTCTTCAACTACTGCCTCACTCAAATAATATTCCAACTCAGTTTTTTTCCTCCCACCACTTTCCATTCTTTGTTTTTTAATTTGAGACTTCAACAGATGCTGTGGCCTCCCAACTAGGACAGATGCAGACTGAACAACCTCAACAGAAGGACTAACAGAAGTTACAGAACCAGAAACAGAAGTTGGGACAACAACAGGACTATAACTAACAGCATAATCATCAAACAATTCATTCAAAGCAGCCAACAATTTCTCAAGGAAATCCTTTCCTTTTATGACATAATACATGTGATTTAATTGAGTTGGCATATATTCTAACTTGTCCCTGGGGTCTAAAATGTTTGCAAAGAAAATCATACAATTCATTTTGTCTATATCACCCCAATATTTTTCAAATTTTGCTTTCATGTTAGTCCCCATTCGTTTGACAGCACCATCAGCTTCCACCATTCCATTCAAGATACAATACCGATCAGATATTTCAGAGAAAAAAGGTGTTAGATGTCACATATAAAGAGCCTGAAATCCTGATAGTCATCTCATAGAAGCATTTCAACAATTTGACCAAGCTTTTCACAGACTCCCAATCCAGAAAGTCAGGAATAGAAGAACCCAAATCAGATTTAAAAGAATTATCACTCTCTTCATAAGCCTCAAACACTTTCTGGTATAATAGAGCAGACTGTAACATCATATAGGTGGAATTCCACCTTGTTGGCACATCAAGACACAAAGAGGATTTTTGCTCAATCCCAATTAAGTCTGACAAATTCCTAAATTTCTTCAACCTAGCAGGTGAATTTCTGACATACCTAACAACCTCCCTAACCTTCTTCACAACACTATCACATTCTTTCAGCCCATCTTGCACAACCAAGTTCAGAATATGGGCAATGCATCTCATGTGAAGATACTTACACTTCACATTAGATGATCCCCAAGACAACACTTTCCTTTTAAAAAAACCAATAGCGGTATCATTTGATGAAGCATTATCTACTGTCACAGTAAATACATTCCTAAGCCCCCACTCTAGCAAACAAGTTTCAAGTGCTTTTGCAATGTACTCACCCTTGTGTGAAGTAACAGGGACAAAAGAGATAATTTTCTTGTGAAGCTTCCACTCTTCATCTATATAATGTGCAGTGACTACCATGTAGTTAATTCTTTGTATAGATGTCCAAGAGTCAGTTGTAACACTGACTCTTTGAATGTGTCCCCTAAACAAGCACTTTAACTTAAGTTTCTCTTCTTCATATATGACATGAATGTCCCTACTGATTGTCCACCTAGATGGAATTTTAAACATAGGACAAGCCACTGCAATGAACCTCTTAAACCCTTGCCCCTCAACAAATATAAAGGGAAGTTCATCAATTATAATCATTTCTACCAAGGCTCTCCTAATGATTTCCTGATTAAATACCCATGTCCCTAACTCTCCCACAGGTGGTTCAGATGCATCAGTGCTAGCAACAGCTTGAAATGTTAGAAGGGACTGCCTAGTGTCTTTAGAGTGAGGATTTTTCATACAGCTAAACATGTGATTCCTTAAGGATGAAGTACCATGTTTTTTTGATTCACAATGATATACCTTTGCACAATATATACACTTTCCTTGTACAGTGACATCATTACAATCTTTAATCTGTTGAAAATGATCCCAAACTGGTGATCTGAGTTCAACCTGTTTCCTTTTCTTCTCAGGAACACTAGCAGTATGCATAACATTCTGTTGAGTTTTTTTGTCAACAGTTTGAGCTTCTACCACTACTACTCCTTGAGCTGTAGGATTTGTAGGTTGTTCATAGCGAGAACTATGCATACTGATATTATCCATCTAAAAATGGAGCATTATCAGTACACATAGTAAGAGATGGGAAACATTTTATAGAATCTCAGACAGTCACAAGTCACAACTCACATATTAACATTTAAGTATTTAACAGTGTAGCACTAAGCAATTTGCAGTGCAACACAATTCCATCATGCATTCGTATGGACAAGTGGACAACAAAGGTCTCTGAATCACTGAATGCTCATCATATGGACAACACATAGCATATTAGCATGTATTCAGGCATTCAGCTTCCACCAAAACATTTAACCTTTAAGTATTTAAGGGGCCTCAATCCATAAACAAGAAAGACAACAGAGATCATCATTTAGTGCTTCCACCAAAATAATTTTCAGAATTTAACATACTCACATAGTCACATTGTATACAAGTATTACGAATACAACTATACAAGTAAATAAATTCAATTTTCAGTAAATCACAACTCAGAGACTCATTGACTCAGAAATCATAATCTCATAATATATCACATATTCACATTATAATGAGTAAATAAAAATTAAAATAACTAAGGTTAGTGATTTACTGCTTTTCTCACACAATTTCCCTAGAGAACAAGGGCCTTCAAGTCACCACCAGTTTGATACCACCGTCCTGTGACTCCAGTCCGTCCAGGCGTCCACCAATGACTCAATGAGTCAGTCAACAACTCAACGAGGGCTTCAGATAAAGGGCTTCCACCACATATTCACACAAAGAGTCAAGAGTCAAGAGTCAAGAGTCAAGAGTCAAGAGTCAAGAGTCAAGAGTCAAGAGATGAAGAGAATTAGAGAAACTGAGAAAGGGCTTCCACCAGAGAGAACTCAATAGAGAATCAGATAAAGGGCTTCCATAGTTCCACGGTTCCACCAGACCATTTATCGGACTATCGGAGTCTCAGAGATTGAGAGAAAACGGGAGAACTCATAACTGAGAAGTGAGATCTGAGAAACCCTAGACTCTAGAGAGTGAGAGAGTGAAGAGTGAAGAGGAAGATTGCGCAGTCTCGAATGTAATGAGAAAGTGAGAAACCCTAAGGCAGAAGCGTGGATTATATACCCAATCTACACGACGCCGTATTATACTAAGCATTTCTAGCCCTAGCGCTTTGTTCGGATGATCGGGCGGTTCGGGTAGAGAATTTATACACCCTACCCAAATCAATATAACCGCTAATATTAATGGCAGCGGGTCGGTTATGGCTATTCGGATGGCGGCCTGGATCGGAAGCAATGAAACGGGCAAATGGGTCGGGCCGACCCGTCGGGTTGGTCGGTTATGCACACCCTTAGTTGTGACCTTCTTTAGCTTCGAAATAGGAGGAATTCAGGTAGTAACGTGCCTTATAGACACGAGAGACTAAAGATGTAGGATTTTGCATCAGGCGCCACACTTGTTTTCCTAGGAGAGCAAGATTCATTTCACGCAAACATCGGAAACCCATGCCACCCTTTCACTTAGGCGTACACAGGCCATTCCAAGCTCTCCCCCTTATACCCTTTCCCTGACCAACCGTACCTGTCCACCGATACTCATTCATTATAGTCTTTATTTCTTTGCATAAGTCAACAGGTAAAAGAAAGACCATCATAACATACGATGGCATATCCTGAATGAAATTTTTCAACAAAACTTCTCTACCTGCACGGGATAGGAACTTGGCGTTCCAGCTCCTGACAAGATGCCGTCTTTTAGGAATCCCAAAATTTCCTTCTTTTTCCTTCCCACTAGAGATGGAAGGCCCAGATATTTTCCTTTTGTGTCTCCCTCAACAACACCTAGGACACGTGCCACATCGGCTCTTACAGGCGAACAGACATTTGAACTAAAGTAAACAACCGACTTATCATAGTTTATTTTTAGCCCTGATGCAGTAGAATAGGTATCAAGAATTGACCTCATCGTTCCACTCTCCTGAGGGTTCGCACGCATAAACAGAAAACAGTCATCCGCAAACAGAAGGTGAGAAATAGGCAGTGCTCCCAGGGCGACACTAACTCCATGTAAATTTCCATTGTGTGTCTGCTTTTCTATCAAAGCACTCAGACCTTCTGCAATAATAAAAAAAAAAGATAAGGAGACAATAGATCCCCTTGTCGGAGACCCCGTTCAGGATTAATTGGGCCTATCTGTTTCTTATCATGCAAAATGTGATATTGGACTGACCGGACTGTTACCATCAGGATGTCTACCCATTGCCGAACAAAGCCCATCTTCAACAACATAGCCTCAAGGAAGCGCCATTCTACTTGGTCATATGCTTTGCTCATATATACTTTCAGCGCCACCACCCCTTCACGGCCTTGAATTTTTCGGTTCAAGTAGTGATGAATCTCATATGCCAGCATTATATTGTCACTGATTAAATGGCCGGGAACAAAAGCACTTTGCGATGCAGAAATTATACCATCAAGCAAGGGCTTTAGGGGGTTTGCACAAACCTTAGCTGCAATCTTGTAGAGTACGTTGCACAGTGCAATTGGACGTAAGTCCATCATAGATTCCGGCTTAGACTTTTTGGGGACCAACACAATAAACGTATTATTCGCCTTTGCCGGTAAAGTGCTTGATTCAAGGAAATTGTGGCAGAATAGTGTGACTTCACCCCTAAGGATTATAGAAGTTGCGTGAAGAACTTAATTTATTAATATGAAGGAAGCAGGCTATTAATAGCTATACAATGAGATAAAATGGGCTATGAAAAGCAACAACACAGACCTATTCTACAGGATAGGAAAATAACCAATAAACACTAAGTCAAAAATAATGTAAGCAATTAATCCTCAATATGCCCCCGCAAGATGGAGGTGCCGTCAGAAACTCCAATCTTGGAACGAAACCGCAGAAAGAAATCTCGACCAAGTGGCTTTGTTAGAAGATCTGCAACCTAGTCTTTCGAGCTAATATGACTAACACTCAAGGAGCCATCCATGACACGCTCACACACAAAAAAGTAATCCAAAGCTAGATGCTTCATCCTAGAATGAAACACTGGGTTTTTCGTGACATACTTTTCTCCCATATTATCACAATACAGTAGAGTGGTACAAGGCCAAACAACACCAAGCTCATATAATAGATTTCTCAATTCTCACCCAAATTGTCTCAGCAGTCGAACTTGCCAAGGCACGATACACCGCCTCAGTTGAAGACCTAGACACAGTCTTCTGACGAACGGACTTCCAGGAGATGACATTAGGACCAAGATAAATAACAAAACCAGTAGTAGAGCGATCATCGTCTCTATTACCTCCCCAATCAGAATCTGAAAAAGCTGTCAATGATAAACCCGAGCAGCCACGCAACAACAAACTGTGAAATATAGTTCCCTTCAGATAACGAAGTAACCTCTTAATCACAACCCAATGATGTTCCTTTGACAAGTGCATGTGTTGAGATATGGAATTAACCACATAAGCAATGTCTGGTCTAGTGACAGACAAATATGGAAGCAACCCGACTAACCTACGAAAACCAGTAGCATCTACTACAGGCTTCCCATCATGAACAACCAAAGGCATGGAAGAGGACATTGGAGTAGAAACACTCTTCGCACCATCCATGATATAACGAGCAAGAATATCTGCAATATAGTGACTGTAGCACCCCGTGTTACGATCTTCAAACCCGGATTAATTATGTAATTAATCCCGCCAAGAACAGTTAAAAGGATTTAATTTAGTTAGAATTCCCTTAATTAATTAATGTGGCCCACAATGCACCATGGACCCTTGTTTATGATAAGAACTCTAAGTCTGTTAGGAATAAAGAAAGTGGGCCTTTATATAGGAGATTAGAAAGAAATTAAAATCCTTCCCGCTCATATCACTGAAAAATTCCCCAAGAGACCTAGCCAAGGAATTCCCCCGTCACCAAGCCTAGGGAAGGATCAACTGAAGGAGGATCTTGGAGAAGGACCTTAGGAGTTAAGGAAGATTTAATTAAAGCTAAGAGGTAACCCATGTCTTACAAAACCTATTTTCCTTACTAGCTTTTATTGATTGGCTCCGTTGGTTTATTGAATGTGTGTTTTGTATGTATATATCTTGTTAGAGCTCGTCTTTAAGTTTATCTGATGGATTCTCGCTATTCTTGATAATCTTGATGATCTTGTGTGATGATTGCCAGGTTCTTGTATGTAATTATGTTTAGAGCTTGTCCTTAGGATTTATATTGTGAATCTTGTTGCTGTGACATTCTTGGCGTTCTTGGGCGGGTTTATGCATACTCAGGCGTTAATTCAAGGTTATGGCTTGTCTTTAGGGCTTTGCATATACGTCTCTTAATGTTCTTGAGGTTCTTGATGCTCTTGAACCGTTATGTGTTTAATCTTGAGTAATGGCATGTTTAGGGATTGTGATTAGGATGTAATTGTGGTGTTTCTTGGCTTAATTCTTGTTGTTCAAGTCCATATTGTTGTTGATATGTGTTGGGATGTATTCAGACATGATTTTGGATGCAATTGATGAATTCCTGGGTTGGGAAAGGGCCAAGATACCTTCGTACCAGCGGGGGGTCGGTGGGGGGACGAACCCCCACTTGACCACCCGCCGGTACGGTCACCCGTACCAGCGGGTGGCTGGCAGGTGGACGACCACCCGCCGGTGTACCCACTGGTATGAGGCCGTCTGCTTACGGGCAGATGCCGGGTGGTTGTCCACCCGCCGTTCCGCCCGCTGGTACGGGCAGCATGATGTGTCGTTTCCCCCGTTTGTTGTTTCCCCGTGCCCCGTTGTGCACCGTTTGATGTTTGGGAGTCTAGTTTGATGTTTCGGGTACCGTTTTAGGAGTTGTGAGTCTTGATTATTGCATGTGGTTCAAGTTGGTATCCCGTTGGCCTAGGATGAGATTTGTTTGTTCCCTTGAGAGCCTTGTGTCCTTCCCTTGTTGTGGCATTGTGAATATTGAGATTTGGTATTGAGTATTGATCATTGTTGATTGGTACTGTTGAATGCTGATTGTTATGTTGTTGTCCATGATGAGAAAAGAGATATGATTGGTGGAAAAGATATGTTGGCGGTTTGGCACTACAAGTGCTCGGTTATTGTGCTATATGCACAAACCACTTGATTAGTATGCTAAAGGCATAAATCAGGTTATGTAATGCCACCGCGGTGCTATCATATTGGTGGTTTTGTTGGCGGTATGTCGGTGGGGAGCATGCGTGCTCCGGAGGGATAAGGGTGGCCTGGAGGTACATGTTGGAATTGAAATAAGTATGGAGAGGCGTGAAGGTTGGAACTTGGTATAAGGTTGGAACATGGATATGTTTATTGTTGTTGTCGATCATTGCTTGAGTCTTATTGTCACCTAGGTCGGCTGTCAAGTCTTGCCGTTGTTTTGTCTTGTGGTTTTAGGTGGCATGCTAGTACCTTTATGTTGTTTTACACTGATAAGTCTACTGTTGTGCATTGAGTATCGTTCTTGGTTTTAAAGCTAGAGTTGTTTAGGACTATATACGTATTCCCATGTATCAAAATGGTTTTCTTATATCTACCTATATTGTACTCAACACGTGGGAATAGGTTACTCAGCATTATTCGCTGACGGTTGTTACACCATATGTTTTTCAGGTACTGATCAGTAGTTTCGGAGCGTGCTATTTGAACCCGTGGACTTAGCTTAGATAGATCTAGTTTAGTTTCATTGGCATGTGCGCCTTGATTATATTTGAATATTAATTATGGATTATGCATTAGATTAGTTAGTGTAGCCTGTGCATCTAGGTTCTCCAGCCTGGATGTGGCATAGCACCCCGATACTTATGTTGTTAGCTTCCCCACTCTGTTGGGTATTAATGATAGATTTGTCTTTATTTCATAAGCTTTAAATGTCTTAAAAATTAGGGGTGTTACAATTGGTATCAGAGCCTAAGTTTGACCCTAGGACAACACTTGTAAGATAAGACTTTAGGATATTAAACTTGAACTCTAGGTGATTAAGTACTTAGGACTTAAGAATCTTAGGACGCGCGGTGAGATTGTGAGTTTATTTATTGCTTTCAGCTAAGTTTTCCCTTTGACTTGCTCTTATGTAGTTATCTATTATTTCATAAAAGTATTTTGGAACTTGCAATTAATGATTTTATTTAGCTAGTATTTACTCACTTTTCTTGATTATAATTATTAGACTATTTTGATAGTTGATTTGCCTATAACCTGATTATTTGCTTGAGCATGAAAATTGGATTATTTTCCTAATTAATTTGTTTACAGATCGGCTAAGGACTTGCATATTGTTGCCTAATTATTTGACCAATGTGAGTTATTTGGATATTTGTTAGTTGATAAAATATTTTGGAACTTGCAACTGGTAATTTTATTTGACCTATAATTGCTCACTTTCCTTAATTGTGATTGTTAGATTATTCTAGATTGATTTGCTTATTATAGAATACTTTCATGACTGTGCATGAAAGTTACGGGAACATAACTTTATTTCTTAGTGGGGAGAATGTGATATGTGATCTTTATGATGTCTTGAACTTTCGTTTGAGTCTCTTAAATTCCTTATTGGTCAAGTCTCCCTTGTTCCTTGTTGCTTTAAGGTTATGCTTCAGGGACGAAGCATCTTTTGAAGGGGGGAAGGGTGTGATGGTGACAACTCAAAATTTAATTTTCTAAATTCCATTTTAAAAAATTCCAAAATAGCCATTTTTCACTCTTCCAAAATTCTTTATGACGAAAACGGTGTATAAATTCAACACCGGGACTCATTCTATTTATAAAATCCTAAATTCTCGGGTACATTGCGTAGCAAGTTTTGACCCAAAAGTCAATCTGAGTGAAACCAGGAGAAATCCTAGAAACCTAAGCCAAATGGTCATCTAGAAATTATTTTTGGAAAAATATATTGACCCCTAAACTATTTAAAACTATCATTCTAGACTTTGATCCATGTTGTGTAGTGGACCACAAGCTTCCAATGCGTTGTCTTATACCTTTGAAGAATTAACCAAAAGACCATTATGATAAAAAAAACCCCCGATCACACACACACACACACACACACACACACACACACACACACACACACACACACACACACACACACACACACACACACACACACACACACACACACACACACACACACACACACACACATATATATATATATATATATATATGTATGTATATTCCTACCACTCTAAAACATATTATTCTAATTTTTACTATATATATACGTTTCTAAATTGGTACTCATTGATACTAAATGCAGATTCAGATGCAATTGTAAATATATGTAAGGAAATTTGGCTTTGGGTCAAGGAAACACGAAACAAGGATCACCAAAGAGTTGGTCAGAGTATATTCCTGGAAGGTTACTTGAAAAGAGTGTGTAATATTGAATTCATGCCTAACACTAGTTTCACCATGTGTTTCATTGGTTCATAATTTATTGTCAAGTTGTCATGCCACTTGATTTTCAATGTTATGCATAATGTGATCTTTCACCTTGTTGCTTGGTTGTGGTTACTCCTTTGATGGCATGCCATTCTACCTATTCCTTGATATATTAAGCCAAACTTGACTTCATATCTTGTTAGTGTGTAGTAAGTATGTATATTTGAGTATGAATTGCATAAGTGTTTGTATATGAATTACACTTTCATGTGAGCTTAATGCCTATAAATAAGTATTACTATTAGTCTTTATAGATGTATACTTAAATACATGTGAACCAATTTGTCCTCTATCTCTGATCTTTATTCGCTTAACATGTTATATGATAACAAACTATTTTCCCAATCTATATCTATATGTATTTTATAGGATGGAGTGGTTTATACTTAGCATTCGTGCTAACAGGTTATTTTTGTATACTTTTTATTTAACCCATTTCAAGTCTGATCGATGATTGCTGAACGTGTTTATATGTAACTAGATTAGTATAGATTTTGTTCTAGTTCCTAGTTCTCTTGACGCTTAGACTACCCTTCTTATGTTTTGTTAATGCGTTGACACTTGGGCCTGTTAGCCTTATCTTTTGGATTTCAAGTTAGACATCGAATATTTGGATGTGGGCCCATTATGATGTATTGTGATGATTTTAATTTAGTTAGTTTCCCATGTAGTTGCTCTATTGAGGGCAGCTATGGAGTAGCATCCCCCGTTGTTTTGGTTGTTGGGTAATTAGTATTCAATTGCCCTTTCTTTATTCCGCACATTTTCCTACCTTTAATTCTTGTTTAGAACAAGACTCAAGTGTATGAAAATTGGGAGTGTTACACACGATGTCGGTAGTATTTGAAAGATCCTATTAGACGTACATTGGCATTTGGGGCAGCTTACAATGGTAGAAATTAAAGGTTCATAGGGTTGAATTAAATGTAAACAAAAAAAAAAAAAAGTAAAGGTTCGCACAGATAATGGCAGGCATTGTTATAGTTCCATTGACCATGCCATTCCTTCCCCTGGGTTGAACTTTCCCTTTTCCAAAGAACTCGGTGCCTAATAGATCTTCCTCAAACTGTTTATCAATAGAATAACCTGAGTTAAAGAATTACCAAATGTCCTTACGAGTGATGTTGGAGGCGCATCTTAGATAATTTGTGGCTTAT